TCTTTATAATAAAGAGTTTAGATCATGAGCATTTCCAATAGTGCTCTGTATTTTGAAGAGTATCTTTCATATAAATAAAGAGTATCTTCATTAATTTTAAAATATAAAGAATATATTTTTTATTCAAATCTAATAGACTCTTTAAATTTAATAAAGATGTTCTTTATTTTTAAGAAAGAGACTTAATGAGAAAGAAAATTAATAAATAAAATGCATAAGAACTTGTAATTTATTAATTAAAATTAGGATAGAGAGTGAAATTTGACTCTCTAAATGTGAAAAGCTAAACTCACTCTCTAATTTATATTTTAAAGATAAAGAGTCATTGAACTCTTATTTTTATGGATAAACTCTTTATAATAAAGAGTTTGAGTTATATAAAAAGTTTTTTAAAAATACTCTTAGACGTAATAATAATTTGCTACAAACCATCATCCTTAAGAACGAGATGCACGAGATTACTATTAACACAGACGTGGGTAGTATTAATTTACGAGATACCATCATCCTTGAGAACGAGATGCACGAGACTACTATTAATATGGCGGCCGATTGGTGCTTAATGGAAGTAGAAGTCAAGAACTGAATTGAGTTTGAGAGAGACAATTCAATTTGTATGCAGTTGATAATCTCTTCGAGCTATTTAATGTTATCTGGACAGTAATAGAAATTAGTCATGGTGTTCTCACGTCGGACTGCATTTTTAATTATTGTCACGTCAATCCGTGCTAAAAACATATTTTATTACTTATTTTCATCGACCTTTATAAGGGCGCTGGACCCACAAATACTAACAACAGTTATGTTGATGGGTAACGTTATCTTTTTTATGGACCGTTAGATCACTCTTTCACCATTAAAGTCATTTAAGGTTAACTTAAGGGTCCGATTATTTTATTATTTTGTCATACCCTACTTAATATGTTTGTTTCTTTATTCTCAAAATCTAACCATATTATATTGAACTATTTTAAACCCGTTAAGTTTGTTAATTTAACTAAACACTTCCAACAAAAAAATTTTATAAATTGACAAGAATACCATCATCTATCTACATTTGCTAGATTCTGACCACCATCATTGAAAGATGGCTAAAATCTACCATCATGACATACTATTAACTAGATATGGCCGATAATACACCAATCTAGTATTTTTACCAGATCCACCGAGGATTTAACTAGAAAATACCATATCTAAGACTAAATATCTAATTGTTGATGGCCACATCTGGTTGTCGATGACGGCCATAACTTTGGTCGACAACTAGATGTGACCAGATCTGATCATAGATCTGATATTTTCTAGCCTATCTTCCAGCAATGGTGGGCAGAATCTGGCAAATGTGGGTGGATGAGGGTATTTTTATTAATTTATAAACTTTTTATTGTAAATAGTGTTTAACTAAATTATTGTTAATTTTTAAATCCTACATTTTACTAATAACAACTTAACTTTTTCATAAATACTACTCAAAATAATAAAACAAATAAAGCCTAAGATCGAGTGCAAAACTTCAACATTATTCATCTAACACTTGTATATAGTTTACGGCCAAAATGAAATGAACTTATATATTGCCTGCGCATAATTCTCAAGTCTTAATCATAGATTAAAATAATAATAAAATAAAAAATAAGGGTAAATTATATAAACTTAAATTTGTGACATTAATTTCTAGTAATTTTTTTATTGCAGTATAATAGTTAAGATTTGATGAGTTGATATAAAAATAATTCTTTTTAACTAATCTCTCATAACTAAGGGTTTAAAATAAATTACACCACTGTTTTAAGTTAAAATTTAAATTGACACAGCAATAGCAAAAATAAATATATATTATAGATTTCAATCTTATATTATTGACAAAATACAATTTCCTGTTCGTTGGATTCAGAGGATTGAACCATAGCTCATGCTTGAGGTGGCCATGTCTTCTAAAACTTCAAAACTTTATGAAGAGAGATAGATTAACAAATACTGTTCACAACTTTCTCTCACAAATACTGACGTGCCAACTTGTAATTGGTTAGGCGGGATGATGCATGATTTCACAAACATGTATATGTAACAAGTGCACTAGTCACAAAAAGTAATAAAGTGATAAGTATAATATCATTCCCATGAGGATAATGTTACTAAGTACCGATTTCTCTAGTTTAAGTCGTAATTGAAGCAACAATAAATTGGATTGATAGAAAATTAACAAACTAAATACAAATTAACAAAATATAAATGAATGATAATGAAAGTAAAGGAAAACCCCAAAACTGAACTAATTAAACAATGCTAAAAAATGCTAGGGTGTTGATTTCACTTAGATACGCTAACCCAAATCATAGAATCTATTACCCAAGTTTTAATTCCTTGATTGAAAATCGAATTCCTTAAGTTGTCTGGTACTCCTTCTCAGTTATACCATCCCACCTATTCCTATTAATCTTCCAAACCCAAAAATTGAAGTTTAATAGTTCAAGGTCTCTTAAGCTTTGTAAAATTCTATCTAGCTTTCATAAATCGCATTTATCTATTTTTAGTTTTCACTCAATCTATGGTATTTATCTCAAGAGGCACATATCAAAAATCACTTCTCAGTCTCATTGTGAACAACACACATTTGAATGGTGATCAAGCATCCAAAAGTCATTAAGTGAAGAGACAAACACTCAATCATGAAATTAAAACTCAAAGTAAGTCAATTCGTATAAAATTGAATCATTGTATCAAGTTACATCAAACCCTAGCTAAACAACTCAGTTCATACTCAAAAACAAAACAAAAAAACAAAACAAACATAATCAGGGTTCATCGCTGAAAAACAAGTAAAATATGGAGAAATCTTCTCTAATTAGAAGCCCAAATCTTTAATAATCTTCTCCTTCCAAGAGCTGCCTCTCACGTGGTAAACCAAGACCCTTGTCCCTTCCTTTTCATGCCAATTTAACCTCTTTCAATTAAGGATGAAGCCCTAACAAACCAAAACACATCGTTTTATCTTTTCACATCTGATGCAGTTTCGCCGCAGCAAAACTTTATTTTTGCCGCGATGAGGATCTTTCAGACCAAATTTGAGCATTATAACATCTGAATCTGGAAAAGTGGTAAACATATGAATTGTAACCCTTTTAATTATATTTCTACTAGTTTAAGAATCACCCCAATCAGAGGTCTACAACTCACGTTATGGCCAAAATACTGAAGTCATTTAGTTCTTAACATACTGGTCACGACTTCAAGCCAAGTTTTCATTCTCTTCCAGTCAGAATTAGGAAAAACCCAAAACATGAAAGTTGTAGCTCTGCTTCTTAAATTTCCACAGGTTCTAAATTCAAGTCATTCCGAGTCACCAAGCTCAAGTTATGCATTTTAAGCTCAAAACTGTCATTTATGCTCAAAATCATCATTTAGGCCTACCAAGAAAAATTAATAGAATTAAGTAGCAATTATGACCTAAATTGTATGAGAAGTATCCTAAATCGTATTGAAATTCAATGTAAAATCATATGGAAAAATAGGATTATCACGGGACCCATTGTTAGGCAGGCGAGACCCATTGCGAGCTGACCAATTACAAGCTGACAGGTCACATTTTTGAGAGAAAATTAGTCAGAAGGGTTTGTATGTTTAGTATTTCTGAAACTTTATATATAAATATGTCAATTCCATCACTTTGAATTCATTTTAAACCCCCTTATTTGTTGATTTTCTAGACCCCCATTAATCATTGAATATTAATGTACACCACTAGTTTCATAAGGCCATCATCCATGCATGTGATACACGAGACTTTTGCTGTTAATTTTATGATATCATATCTTTCAATTGATCCATATCAATCTTTTTTATGTGTAATATGTTTGTGGTGAGAATCGTTTGATGTTTATAGATTGAGAGTTTAAGTTTAACAAAGTTAGTTAAACTCTTGCGAAAAGTGTTGATTTTGTTCATCGGTGCTTGTGGGTATAGTTATTCAATATAATCATCATATTAAACAACTCAAGAACAGAGTAAGAAAGAGAAAAATAGCAAACAAGAAACAGAGTAAGCTGAAACTTTTTTGGAATTAAAAAAAGAGAGACTATTATTTTTCGTTATACAAAAGACACAACTCTTTACACTTTATAGGAAAGTTTGTTACAATCCTTGTCAACTTTAAATCTCAATCGTTCATTAGAATAACAAACAAACAAAAAACTTTCTATTTAAACCCTTCAATTCAACAGGAACCTTTTTTCTGTTACAGCTTACACTTCCTGAGCTGACGAAGAAGAAGCTCACATGAAACTGTTATAGCTCACACTTCTTGCGTTGACAAAACGGAGGCTCACGTGAAACATGTTTTCTGTTACAGCTCACACTTCCTGAGTTGACAAAGAAGAAACTCACACACTTCCTAAGTTGATGAAGAAGAAGCTCACGTGAAAGATGGCTCATGTGAAACATGTTTACTGAAATGAAAAATAGGTAAAAACAACACAGAAGAATCTCGTTTCTTGCTTGATTCTTTTGAGGCTTGCATGCATGTTAACATCATCCCTCAAGCCAAAGAAAGAACTCAAGAAAAAAAAAACTTCTCCAGTAAACAAAAAAAAAACCGACAATATTACAGACCTCAAGATTGGTGACTTCAAGTCAGTTCAACCTCATCAGTAAGATTTTCATCCCTTAATAAAAAAACCATTGTTTGTGACAAATCAACCTTATCAGCAAGATTTCATCCCTCTAATAAAAAAAAAAAATTGCTTTCAATCAGTAGTTTTAGTTTCAGTTTCATTTCTTTCACTGTTTATTTCATCTTCAATGCTTCTTGTAATTTTTTATTCGAACTTGGGATTTGATGCTTGTTCTTGAGACATTAATCGTCCCTCAAGCTGAGATTCAGAGGGAGAAGCGAAAATACAGAGTTGATCACATAGAAGCTGAAAACGAGAGCTGGACAACGGTTTGGTGAGGATATCAACAACTTGAAAGGAAGAGGCCACATATTGGACAACCAAGCGCTAAGACTGAACCATCTTCCGAACAAAATGCACATCAATTTCGATGTGTTTTGTGCAGGCATGGAAAACAGGGTTGGAAGCAAGGGCGCTGACACTGGTATTATCGCACCAGAGAACTAGAATACTTGGGATAGTTATGTGAAGCTCCTGAAATAACTTCTGGAGCCAGGTGATCTCAATGGAGGCTTGAGCCAAGGCGCAATATTCAGCTTCAGTAGATGATAAGGCGACAACCTGTTGTTTTTTGGAGCTCCATTGAACCAGATTAGAGCCAAGAAAAATGCAATAGCCACTTATGGACTGGCGATCAGAAAGGCTACTGGCCCAGTCAGAATCTGTATAACCTTCAAGCTGCAGAGTAGAACCTTGGCGAAAGGTGAGGTCATGATGTAGAGTGCCTTATATAACGTAATACATGCTTGCCAATGGTTAATGGTGGGAGCCTTAAGAAACTGACTTAGTTTATTTAGAACAAAGGAGAGATCAAGACGAGTCATAGCGCGATATTATAGTGCACCAATGAGGCTCCGATAGGTGGTGGGTTGTTCAAAAGATGGACTATCATCAAACCGTAATTTGGATCTAAGAACCATGGGCGTTGAACAAGGATTACAGTGTTGCATACCAAACTTGAGAAGAATCTCTTGAGCATACTTGCTCTGGTTTAGTTGTAATCCATGAGCAATTTGATTCACGAAAATTCCTAAGAAGTAATGAACGGACCCGAGAATTTGAAGACCAAGAGTGGCATCCAAGTCAGCAACAACTTGTTGAATGAAAGATTTGTCATTTCCAGTGAGTAATATATCATTGACATACGCTAGAATGCAGACAATAATTGAATCCTGAGAGTAGTAGAAGAGGCTGGAGTCAGAGGAGGAGTTCTTGAAATGTTTCTGTAACATGCCAGATTTGAATCTGTCAAACCAAGCCCGTGGTGCCTGTTTAAACCGTAGAGGGCCTTGTGAAGTTTGCAGACATGATAAGGTTTGGATGAGTCAAGAAAACTTTCCGGTTGAGGCATGAAGAAGACTCAAAGAGCTCACCATTTAAAAATGTGTTATTCATGTCGACCTGCTGTATATCCTAGCAATGGTGTATTGCCAAAGAAAGAATTACTCAGATTGTGGAAGCCTTCATCACGGGAGAGAAAGTTTTGAAATAATTGAGACCAGGTGTTTGATGAAACCCCTTGGCGACGAGTCTGGCCTTGTATCGTTGAAGGCTACCATTGGCATTTAATTTAACCTTAAAAACCCACTTGTTACCCACTAAAGTCATATCATTTGTGTAGGGAACTAAGGACTGGGTTTGATTACGTTGAAGGGCCTCGTATTCCTCTGTCATGGCTTTTAACCATAAGGGATTATTAATGCTGATGTAACAGATGCAGGTTCTGTGTGCAAAGAAGGAGTGACAAAACTAAGGAGAACAGTATTTTGAGTAGTTGTCTTGCTTCTAGTTAGCATGGAGTGACAATTTTGTGTCAAGAAGAAGGTGGCAGTGCATGGGAGGAAGGAGCATGAGTTTGGTAGGACTGAAGATCAACTTCCAGCCTGATGGAAGGATGCATCATTGAGTGAGTGGGAGAACCAATAGAATTGCTACAAGAGGTGGAGCTTTTTTGAGGATCTTGTTGTGAGGAAGCCCCAGCATGTATTAAAAAAATCAACAGAGGAGGATAAATCGGTAGGAAGTCGTCAAGCTTGTGACAAAAAAAAAAATTCACTAGTTGCTTCAAATCCTGAATTAGAAGCACCAAGAAAATTAGTAGAAAAAGGAAAAACTGCCTCATTGAATTTAACACTCTGTACAGTATACACCTTGCCACTAGAATTGAGACACAAATACCGCTTATGATGTGAGTTGTAATCTAGAAAAATACATTGTTCAATGTGAAATGCAAATTTGTGCTTCAAATACGGTCTAATAAAGGGAAAACACTAGCAGCCGAAAGTTCAAAGGTCGTTATAAGCTGGTGTCTTTTGAAATAAAAGATAATAGGAAACCTAATTTGATATCACAGAGGAAGGTAAGCGATTAATCAAGTATACTGCTGTGTGAAATGCAAACTACCAGAAACGAAGAGGAAGAGAAGCTTGTGCCAACAAAGTCAGCCCCGTTTCTGTTACATGGCGATGTTTACATTCAATCTTGCCATTTTGTTGATGTGTGTGTGGACAAGGGTGACGAAAATGGATACCCTGTTGACCAAAAAACTAAGCCACAGGTCTGAACTCGCCTCCCCAATCAGATTGAAACACCTTTATTTTACTATTAAATTGTTGCGACACAAGCTAGTTAAATTGTTGAACAACAGTGGTAACTTCAGATTTTAGTTTAAGAGGATATATCCATGAGTATCTAGTGTAGTCATCAACAAACACGAGATAATACCGGAAACCTGTAGCAAAAACTATAGGCGCAAGTCCCCAAACATCAGCAAAAACCAACTCAAAAGGATTTGATGATCGAGTAACAGAAGGTGGAAAAGAATTATGATGAAGTTTGCCATATTGACAGGCTTCACAAAACTTTGTTTTATTTACTATATTATCATTTACATTCAATGCTAGAACAAGACATTTTAGAGTAGAAAAGTGAGGATGACCAAGCCTCCTATGTTAGAGATCACCGTGACTAGTATGTGATGAAGGTTGACTTTTATTTTCAACTACACCAGATTTATTACAGGAAACTAATTCACTTGCTGAACAACCAAAGGTAATCATCGAATTGTGAAAGGATGCTGAAGAGGAGGTTAATGCTTGTGACATATAAGATTGAGACAAATTAGATGACCTGGACACATCTTGCCGACTTACACCATTTCCAGTGGGAACATTAAGCTGGTATAAGCCATTATGCTCAAAGCCCTTAAGAAGAACCACCTGTGAAGCCTTGTCCTTAATAACACAAGTATCGGCAAAAAATTCAACCAAAACGTTGTTGTCCCTTGTTATTTTGGATATACTAACTAGATTTTTTGTCACATGTGGAACACGAAGAATATTTTTGAGATGTAAGGATTTGTCAACACAAAAAGAAGGGAAAGTAGTCAAACCTGTAGGAGAAATATTCAAACATTGGCCACTCCCGACTTGTAAGGATTCTGATCCAGTGTACTGATTTTTGAGAGGGAGATTTTGGAGATCAGGAGTTATGTGATGAGTTGCTTCGGAGTCAATAAACCAGTTAGGATTGGCTACTGTGAGAGGTGTTGCTGTTGGATTGGACTGTTTTGCTCTAGAGAATTATGTAAGTTGAATTTTCCCTGAACTAACAGAGTGCTATTATGGCATGTTATTCTGAGATGGTGATTGGGTGTTTGGTACAACATTCTGAGGAGTCATTTAAGGGTACATAGCTATAGGTGAATTGGTGAAAGGTTGGTTGGAGTAGTAATTGAAGTATCCAGGTTGAGTATTGGCAAGATAGGCTTGAGCAGGACCTAAATTTTGAATAGGTTGTGATGATGAATTATACTCATAACCAAAAGAAGGCATGTGATTTTGATTACCTTGAAAAAAGGTATCAAAGCAATGGTAGCATTGGAGCGCCATATGGCCACTCTTACCACACAATTGGCAAAACAACCGTGGTTTGTAAAAATTCCTTCCTCTTCCTCTTCCTCTACTTCGACCAAAATTTGGAGTATAAGTTTGAAATTTTGGGGCAAGCTGATAGGAGTTCCTTGACTCATTCTAGTTCTGATTTTGTAAGGAAGACTATGTAAACTGATTTTGTTGCTACTTTGAGGTGTTTGCAACTGACATGATTGGTTGAGGTTGTGAGTTAACAGTTTGTTTATTTGCAATGAAGGTAACAGCTTCATGAAATCCTATATAGGCTGAGTGTTGTTTCTCCAACCCCATTTCATGCTTATGCAACAAGAACTATGCTTCTTGCAATGATCCTTCATTACTTCTAGCAGTTAAGGTTGCTACCATGGCATCATACTCCAGTCCAAGTCCATAAAGCAAATATAACAGCAGTTCTTCATCAGTCACCGTAACACCATTTGTGGTTAAAGATCTAGCAATATCTTTCATTTTTAGCGCATATTCATTGATACTAGAATTTTCTTTTCTTATGGTTTGTAATTGATTTCTTAAATGCAGAATCCTAGCCTTAAAATCTGTTAGAAAATGCATCTCTAGAGTGTGCCAGATTTCACATGTGGCTTCACAGTTAGCTACATGCCTAAACATTGTTTGAGAGATGAAGGACATTAACTAACTGAACACAAATTGATCAATTTTTTTTTTCATAAGATATACTCTGGATTTACTATCTTCGTTGGTTCATCAGTTTCAGAAAGGATAAAAGAAGGAGGACAGAGTTTTTCACCTGACACAAATCCTTCTAGTTCGAATGCTTTCAAGGCTGGAAAGACTTGTGATTTCTAATAGCCATAGTTTTTCTCGCCTAGTTTCACCGTGACAGTATGTAAAGCATTGTTGAGTGCTGAGGATGAAAGTGAGTACATTGTTTTTCCTTCTGTGTTAAAGGCTGAAAATTGAGGAGTTTTTGGATCTGCCATTGACGTTTATCAAATGCTCTAATACCATATTAAACAACTCAAGAACATAGTAAGAAAGAGAAAAATAGCAAACAAGAAACAGAGTGAGCTAAAACTTTTCTGGAATTAAAAAATGAGAGACTATTATTTTTTGTTATACAAAAGACATAACTCTTTACACTTTATAGGAAAGTTTGTTACAATCCTTGTCAACTTTAAATCTCAATCGTTCATTAGAATAATAAACAAAGCACAAAACTTTCTATTTGAACCCTTCGATTCAGCAGGAACCTTTTTCTGTTACAGTTCACACTTCTTGAGTTGACAAAGAAGAAGCTCACATGAAATTCTTACAGCTCACACTTCGTGAGTTGACAAAGAGGAGGCTCATGTGAAACATGTTTTCTGTTACACCTCACACTTCCTGAGTTGACGAAGAAGAAGCTCACGCACTTCCTGAGTTGATGAAGAAGACACTCACGTGAAAGATAGCTCACGTGAAACATGTTTGCTGAAATGAAAAATAAGTAAAAACAACACAGAAGAATGTCTTTTCTTGCTTGATTCTTTTGAGGCTTGCATGCATGTTAACACATCACATCAACTATGAGCATAAAATAAAACACACAAGCATATTTACAAGGTTTGGCTAACAACCTACATCCATGGGACCAAGCCTAGAAGAAGCAAATCCATTATAGCAAACATTCAAAGTTCATTACAAAGTTAAAGTTAAGCAAACAAATGTAAAACATTCCCTATTTTCACAACACTCTAATTTCACCCTTTGGATGATCCATTGTCTTGCCACAGCTTGCTTGAATCCAAGAAACCTCTTCGATAGCTCGAGCTCCACTCAAGCTTCAATGCTGAAGACAACCTTTAGCTCCACAGCTTGAAATCCCTTCAAGCTTTCATTAATGGAACCATGTTCCATAACACACAAACAACCAAGATTAGATAAGTATTTTGAGCAATGAAAACAACAAAGGAATATGACCTAAGATGAATAAAACCTCTAAGGATTTTCAAAGAATAACAAGAAGAATATTCAGGTTCAAACATAAATACAAAGATGAAGAAGTGTATAAAGAATCCTTGCGTAAGAAACCCTTAGACAACCAGCCGACAAAGCTTTACACATGTTTGGCTATCTAAGGAAAGTTTTCAATAATGTGTTAGGACTACTTCTAAAAAGCAAAACAAATTTCCAGGACCAGATCTGAAATATTTGACACTTGTATTCAAACGACTCATGCATATTTGATTCTTGGATAAAATCCTAATAGCTAATGAAACCTCGACATATGTACTAAGATCTAACTAGACGACTATTTACACATCTGACTCTAATGTACCTACATATTTTGCGATAAAATCATACTAAGGAAATGTGTATACATCAATGCAGAATGTCATACATGTGTAAACTTTAGACATGATTGTGCTTAACCAAAAGAATGCGCAAACATCAGAAATGCATGTGCACACATGACTTCATAAGTTGACAAAAATACTTACAAACGTATGAATAAAGATACAAAAAAACATATCTCATGTAAAACATCATTAAATCAAGCATTGAGATATGTAACAGAAGTGAACATAAAAAATGCAAACCAGTTCATGATAACCAAGACAATTGACTTGGAAAATAAAATCCCACTTAGCAAGCACACTCCCCCTGAGTGCTTCAACTACTTCACATTCTAGCCAACATTGATTAGAACACAAAAACAACAATTAAAACACAAACCAGTAATTGATTCTGAGTTCGATCATTTGATTGTACTCAAATGAATTGAGTAGGACAAGGACTCAATCTTGTAAGATGCCCTTCGAGATCATGAGAACCAACCACAAACAAAACCTACGACTTCTAGAATCGATGATTATCTCTCATCAATTTGGGCAAAATTACTGGCATAGTGGTTGGAGACATTGCATGAGAATTGATAAAATTGATTGATTCGATTGCAATTTTGGAGTTCGAACCTTTCTCTAGATTGTCTAAAATAGGAGAAAATGCAAGAAATTCAGCCATTCTTGACGATTGTCGATGGCTTTGATACAATTTGAGGATTTGAGATACAGTAGAGAAAGTGCGAAAGAAAATTCTAGAAGCTCTGATGTATTTCTTATTACATGACTAATCTTCTATGTACAACTTTATAGAACATAAAGAACAATAACACAAAAGTAATAGTAACTAACATAACTAAAAGAAAAGTAACAGTAGCTAACAGTCAGCTCTAGTCAATTGACGGCAACTGTAGAACAGTAAACAGTACTCCTAACATCCTTACTAACATCGTTCAACAAAAAAGGAACAAGAACTTAATGAAACTTTATTACTTCGAAGTACCATGTACATTGTAGAGGACAAGCAAAGGGGCGGACCACTAAGGGATCATGCCCCCACTGACCTTGGGAAATTTTGTTGATCTTCTTCTATTTTGCATTTTTAACAGTAAACACCTATTATTTAATCACCTGGAAATTTTGAACACTAAGAAATGTCGGTGGAGCAAGCTTTGTATTGTCTAAACTTCGATCTTGTTTAGGTATCAAACATTTTCATGGTGTTTTTCATGTGTAATAAAATTGAAGTGTCGATTTACAAGAAAACAAAAATTAATTTATCATGTATATCCAAAGAAATATTTCTGATAGAGAAGTAAGCATTGCAATGACTAATTGTCCTTTCATATATTTCTATTAAATTTCTTAGAAGTGAGAATTCAAAATTTAACAGTGATTTTTGATTTATTAGATTAAAAATCTTACGCATTATTCAATGAATCTAAAAGATGTTATTGTTTCATAATTGCTTATAATAGTGTCTTTGTCGCTAGGACTTTGAACTTTCACATCCGAAATCAAAGATAAGTTTTGAACGTTTTAAAGATGCGGCCATCTATATGAAAACAAGCCGTTGACATGGCATATAATTTAAGGAGATGGCCCTATGAATATGAAGGTGCTCTAAGATTAAAACTTGCAACTACCTAATTAAAACTCGCACAACTGCTGGATAGCTGATGTCATTCATGACATAATTGCTCACACTAATTAGTGAGATGTATTGCTTTCGTTTTTGTCTCCGCAAATCCATAAGTTTGTCAATGGCTCATCCCTCTCATAAGATTCGTTTATTTCGAATCAATCGTAGATTTTATCGTCCACAATACTAATTTTATTAAAGACTAAACAATAGAGCAATTTGTAGAAATTTCCATGGATAATGATTTTTTTTTTTTTTTTTTTCAGAAGTTCTTAAACTCAAACTGATCTCTAAACAAAAGGGTACGTGTTGCTCTCACCGGAGGCCCATGATCTAGAAACTCCAACAAGAAAACTCAAATTTCAGAAGTTCTTAAACTCAAACTGATCTCTAAACAAAAGGGTACGTGTTGCTCTCACCGGAGGCCCATGATCTAGAAACTCCATCAAGAAAACTAAAATTTCACATGTATCACATGTTTGAAAATTGATTAATTTGTAGGACATGCATGCACCGCCCATGGCACTGTAACACTGTGCTTCTCTATAAAAGGAGACCATTCATTAAGTTTTTAGTTCATCCACAAATCAAATATCAAAGAGTTTCAAAGCAGCTAGCCTTGTTTTCCTATAAATATTTCCTTTGCTTTTTTCCTAAATTCATATCTTCAAACAAAATAAGAAAAAAAAGTGATCGTCACTTTATAGGTTTTGAAGTTATTAGGGTTATTGAAAATGGAAGCTCTTCTTAAGCCTATCAAAGTGAAAATAGATGTTGAAAATTTTACATTGGACGACAGTGAGGCAAATCAACCTCTGAGTCCAGTTGCTCGTATGTTTCATGAGTCTGATTCCAATGTCTACATTATTGCCATGATCGGCTTGAAGACAAAAATCAATGCAGAAGTTGTTAAAGCAAACTTGGTGCATACTTTGCTAAAGCACTCTCGTTTCTCTAGCTTGCAGGTAAAAAATATTAATCATATGCTTCACCAGAATGAGATTCAGATGCCTAAACGATTTCACGCTGTCAATTCTATTCATGTTCCTTAACTAACATTGTCTTCTGAAATGTACCATTTTCATCATAGTTATTGCTAGTTAAAGTATAATTGTGTCGCTTTTGACCTAAATTGACAAAAAAATATATAGAGTATTGCATATGTATTGATATCCAATCTGAACTATTAGATTATGTTGGGATCAGGTTATTTTGTTGTTCACAAACATAAATTAAAGCCGGCATTTTTCTCACAACTTTAAAGTTTGGTTTCCTGGCAACTTGGCCAGTACCTTATTTAGTCAATCAACATTTGTCTGTACTAGGATTATATCTTATACATTATTTTGGTTGTTCCCTTTCTTTTCTTTGTTCTTTGTAGAAGAGATAAACACTTATCATACCTTTACTGGTTGATCCACAACTATTCTCTTTAGTAGCTAGTTAATTCTTTATGATAAACAAGGATCCACAATTATGTATTAGGTAAATAAACTCTTTAATAGCTAAATTAACCTTTTTTTTTTTTGTATTAGTTCAAGAGATTCTTTTCGAATTTTAGACCTTTGACTCTCATACTATGTTAAGTTGTCATCCTATTTAAAAATTTAAACAAGTAGACAATAGTTAAACATTAGTACGCTTTTATTAAAACTATACATTCATTTATTTTATGTTACATCAAGTTATACTTAATTTTAATTTGTATATTTTTACTTTAAAATTTATTTAAAAAAATAAAAAATAAAAAAAATAAAAGCTATTCTAAACTAGCTTGTTATCACTTAATTTATTAACTTTTTCGCAGGTTGTGGATGAAATGAATAGTGGTAGGCTAATATGGGTCCCAACAGAGGTTAATTTGGACAATCACGTTATAGTCCCAAAACTTGATCCAGATGACATCGACTCACCGGATAAATTTGTGGAAGATTACATCTCCAACCTGAGCAAAAATAAAATCAAAATGTCTATGCCAATGTGGGATCTCCATCTCCTCAATGTTAAAACTTCTGAAGCTGAATCCGTCTCTGTTTTTCGAGTTCACCACTCTCTTGGTGATGGAACTTCTCTTATGTCTCTCTTCCTCGCTTGTACTCGTAAGGTTTCTACCCCAACAGAACCTCCCACCATTCCAATGGTTAAGAAAGTGAATTCCGGAAAATCCTCTAGAGGGTTGAAGGGAAAATTCATCAAATTGTGGTTGGATATGTGGCTGCTTTGGAACACTCTTGTTGATGTTATGATGTTTCTTGCTACGGCATTAATGCTTATAAAGGATACGAAAACACCACTCAAAGGTCCCTTGGGCTTTGGCTCAAGTCCTCGGCGATTCGTTCATCGATCAGTCAGTTTGGATGACATCAAGCTTATAAAGAATTCGACAAGAACTGTAAGTTAATTTGCATCTTTGTGTTGTATCCTTAATGAGTTTTCTTTTACTTTTGTTTAATATTATTTTGTGGCGTTGTGATTTTGTAGACAATCAATGATGTTATGCTGGGAGTGACTCAAGCAGGGTTGTCTCGGTATCTTAATCGAAAATATGGTGAGCTATATATAATTAATTAATACACAAAATTATGTTATTGAAGTTTGATGATAAATGATATGAGTTTGTATAATTTAAGTTCTTGCTTCCTCCCGTGTGATTTAGATTCTTGCTTCCTTCCATAGTCGGATCCCATTCATACATTTTTGAAATATTATTATAACTCATAAACCAGCTTAGACAGATCCACAATGAAACATTGCAGGGGAGAGTGATAAGATTGATAAGGGATCGTCAGAAAGAAGTAACAATCTTCCAAAGAGTATTCGTCTTAGAGCAACTTTCTTCATGAACCTTAGGCCAATTCCAGGGATTCAAGTGAGTGTCCAATACCAGTTCATATTCAGTGATTTATGTTATGTTTTTTGACAGGGAAAGTAAATATTAATTTATACGAATATTATATATTTTTGTAGGAGCTAGCTGATATGATGAAGAAGGGTACTAAAGCAAAGTGGGGTAACCAAATTGGTTATTTGATCTACCCTTTCACAATTGCATTACGAGATAATCCACTGGATTACCTTCGAGAAGCTAAGGCAGCCATGGATAGGAAAAAAGCTTCTCTAGAGGCTTCTTTCTCATTTTTCTTGGCTAAATATTTTCTCAAGTTTGGTGGCTTGAAGGTACGATTACTTTTCTTTTATGCTTCTTTTGATTATCATGGAATATAATCAAATTAAGTTGTTAGAAGCTTGTATTATATATTGAAACTTTCAGGTTTAACTAAATATAGATTAATCTTTTTCAACCATATGAACAGATGGCGAGCTTTCCATCTCAAACAACATTGTGGTTCTCAAATGTGGCTGGCCCTCAAGAAGAAATCAGTTTGTTTGGGCATCCAGTGGCTTATATAGCTCCAAGTTGTTTTGGACAACCTAATGTAAGTATTTATCATGATGAACCTCCAATTCTCTAGAGATTTTGGCAAAAATAAACAAATTGGAGGGGTGACATAAAATTTGACTAATTCTATTAATTCATTCCAACATGACCACATAATCATTCCATAAGGATGAAAATATCCCTCTATTCGTATTAGAAATTTCGTGAAATTTTTGTATCACAGATGTGCCGAAGGTTAAAATGGGTTTGCTTTTTTTTAAGTGTTATTATTTCATTTGATATTTTGATGCAGGGATTGATGATTCATGTTGTGAGTTACGCGAACAAGATGACATTCATCTTATCAGTTGATGATGATATTATTCCTGATCCTCATCAGCTTTGTGATGATCTTGAAGTATCTCTCAACCGCATCAAAACTGCCGTCATTAATTAGTAGAGGACTAGTTAAGGAAGATGTCATCATCAGTGACCAATACATACTATCGCAGTACTGGTCCGTAGTTATATTTTTTGCGATAGCTCAAATAAGTATCTAGATATGTAATTTTAAATAATTGAAAAACGAAAATGTATTGAATCGCTTTTCTTTCATAACATACTTTTAATTGGTAATTAATGGAGTGGCTACATTTTCCACCAAAAAAATGTGCTAGTTTAATAATCGTTTCCTATAATCTTCAAATTCAATTACTTCCATTGATTACGTTATATGTGTAGCATTTTTGGCTTAAAAGAATCCAAGATGAAGCTAATCGATCTTTTTTTTTTTTTTTTATCTTAAATTATTAAACGAAGCATTAAGATGGGTATGCTAATAGTTGTTGTATTTCTCTTGCATTCACTTCTCAACAACTAGTAGGTAGTTTGAAAGTAGGTGAAGATGTTATGTCTTATTGGCTCTTTTAGAAGAAGAAGGTCAAACCAAGGTCTTCACTTGTGGTTCATAGTAGGGGTGTTCGGTTTCGGGTACCTTGCATTTTTTGAAGGAACCGGAACCGACAATTCCTTAAAATTTGGAACCAAAATCGAAACCGATGGTTCTGGTTCCTGGGTACCCAGAACCACCAGAACCGAAACATGCAACAACGGTTCCAATTCTGGGTACCCTGTAAAATCACTTTTACCCCCCAAAAGTTTATAAAATGATAAAAAAAACCCTTAAAAACCAACAAATACCCCCCACTTGACACTTGTTAACAAAAAATAAAATTACAAATACATTATAAGCCTTAAACCTAATTTCATTAATTTACTTTTCCATTTGCCACCACTATGTTTGCTTTCCTGACCTTTTTGCTATATAAATATTTTCTATTTTAAACCATTACCATCAGATACAATCACTTTTCTATCCAACAATGACCAATATCAATGACATAAAAATTGGTGTAAGCTATCCTTTTTAATTAATAAGTGGTGGACCATTGGTCCCTAATGCAGTAATGCCTTAACTTTGTGGCTTTGTGCCCCAAGCCCCCAACAGGCCAACACATCCAAGAATCTCTCAACCATATTTGCCTCTTACCCAGCCACCAAGTCAAATTTAGCTACAAGTCTCATTTTGTGGGTCCAATTGTGTTATTCTCTTCTCTATCTGTTTTGTTTTTTGAATGTAATTTGATAATAAAGATCTGTCAACACTTAACATGATGGGGAAGTAAGTCAACATAGTGGAAAGCAGTAAGCACATGGGTCTTGCATTTCACAACTTTTAAACACAAGAATGAAGCCTATAAAGTGTTTGTGAAAAAACTCACTTCACACCGTCAACACAACAAGGTCTTAGAAGAAAAGAGTTTCAAATGGGTCTTAGAAAGAGAAACGAAAACAAGATACTTGGAGCTGAAGGAATCCCACTTGAGCTGAGGGAGAAGTAGCAATCCTTAACCAAATAGGGCTCTGTTGTTGCTGTGATGAAAAACCAAAGCAAAGTGTGAATGGATTTTTTTTCAATTTGGCATTTAGGGTTAAAGAGTCAAATTGGGAATTTTAGTCTATACAAATTTAAATTTTTAGTATAAAATATCATATAACCCCCCCAAAATTATATATAATTTAATTTAAGTCTTGATTTCTGGGTACTTGTCGGTTCCTACCCAATGGAAGTGAAACCGGAACCGCACAGTGTCGGTTCCAGTTTTTTGGAACCAAAACCTACCCTATCACTACCGGTTCTGGGTAGGAATCGGACCCCGAGTACCCTTCGGTTCCGGTTTCGGTCGGTTCTTTTGTACACCGCTAGTTCATATTTCATAGTAAAGAGTTTTAAGAATATAAGTGTCTTAGCATGTAAATGTCTTGGTCAACAGGTTGTTGGTACAGCTTGGCAAGTTACTGTAGTTCTTAAGACTACTCCATGTTTATAGCAAGGGTTAGAGCCACCAAATTTATTTTGGGGACCCAAAATGTGATCTTCAAATAATAAAAGGGCCACATCAAAAAGTTACATTTTAGGGATCAAATGTTAATCTTAAAACTTGGGGTGGCCAAAGTGTCATTAAGCAAATATGTTGAAAATAATTTTTTTATGAAAAAAATTTATGGTCATTTGATTCGAAATATATATGCAATCGGATTTTGCAATTATGAATTACTGAAAAACATTGTAATTTACGAAATGATAAGTCAAATTTATAAAATAACATGTGGATATATTTTTGGTTTTATTTAACACTTTCAATAAGCTAAAACAAACTCATGGAAGAAAAAAAAAAGTCAAATTTCAAGCTTCTTCTAATAAGCTCTTCTTAAGTTACAATCAAACGACACAAATTTTCTTGGAAAGAAGCTCTTTTAGATAATAAATAAGCCCAAGCACAAAAACACATCGAAAATCAAGATAAGTTTTGATTTTCTAAAAGAGATGAGGGCATCCATATCATAGCAAAGCTAGTTTTACACATGAAATAGTACGGCTATCCAGTGTTTTGAAAACTGAATTGGTTGGTTGGACCGGTGTTTTTGTTGAATTTCAAACTTATAGGGACTCATTGAAATTTTAGGGGTGTTTTTGCTGAAATTCAAACATGCATGAACTAATTAGGGATGTTTTTGCCATATTTTAAATCACCTTGATTTCGGCCAATTTTGGTGCCAAACAACCCACCTGACACCACCATCAACATCTACTTCATCTCCACATCAAAATCCTCATCATCCCAAGGTATGATTCGTCACCGATCCACGTTGTTGTCGATGCCTACTTTGCAAAAATCAACATCTTCCTCATTGATTTCGTCACTAAACACCCTGCCTGACACCACCATCGACATCAAATTCATCTCCACATCAAAACCCCCATCACCCCAAACTTTCGATTGGCTAACGATCGTCGTCTCTGTCGCCATATGATTCGGGATTTCTTGCCTAGATCGTAGCGGTGTATTTGATAGATTTAAACCTTTAAGGACTTATGGGAATTTCGTAAAGGTATTTCTGTTAAATTTCAAACTTGCTGGACCATTGGTATACTGTCGGTTAGACTAATCTAACTAGTAAAAATTGGAATCGGGCCCTATTAGACTGAAATTTATAGACTTAGTTCAATATAGAAGATGTTTGGTTTAACAGGGGATGTTAGACTGAAGTTTGTATTATCAGTTTTCAGTAAGTGTGAGGGTTAGTTTGTAATTTCTCATGCTTGTATCACCAATATGGTGCATTTAGATTGTTTGGTTATATAAAGTTGGTTAGGTTGTTATTTGGAAGTTAATAGAAAAATCAGCATTCTTACTCAAGCTTAAGAATTGCGTGTTTCTTTTTCTTCCCTTTTTCTGGTTTCTTGATTTTCTTGAAGTAACTAAAATCTTTTCATGGTATCAGAGCTATAGACAAGCATCAATGGCAAATTCAAGTTCCGATTTCTCAAATAATTCCTCCAAAGTTGAAGCTGAACCACTTGACAGTGAACACTCAACAACTCAGTCTTCACTTCCAACAATAACGGTGAAATTGGTGGAACGAAACTATAGTTACCAGCGTTCTCAAGTTTTGCCAGCTCTGGCCTCGCATGAATTGGATGGATTTGTTACTGGGACAAAGGTTTTTCCTCATATGTTTCAACTGGAGAAGTTAGAAGAAAGTGAGCTGATGGTAAAGAAACCAAACCCTACGTACTTCAACTGGAAAAGAACGGATCAGTTTTTGGTAAGCTGGTTACTGTCATCTATTTCTGAATTGATGTTTAGACATGTATCTAAATGCATTAGTGCTTATGAAATCTGGAATACGCTAGAGTTGCATTCCCAATCATTTTCTAAAGCTCGAACTCTTTATCTGAGAAACTTGTTACAAACTACAAAAAAAGATTCTCAAAGTATTAATGAGTATGTGTTAAGAATGAGAGAAATATGGGGATGAATTAGTTGCTAGCGGTGTGAATATTGAAGATGAAGAACTGTTATTGTATATTCTAGATGGGTTGGGTCCAAAGTATGATGCCGTTGTTGCTAATTTGGTGTCTAATTCTAGTTAGGCCTCTTTTCAAAAAGCTCTGTTTCTTTTGCACAAACACGAGATGAGATTAGAAAGACATAATAGTACTTTGCTGAACTTTCATGAGCAAATGTCCTCAACTCTAATAGCTTCCAAGACCAACTCCTTTGAAGGCTTTGTCACAGCGTCTGCTAATCGGAGTTCTTTAGAGATGATGAATATGTCCCTACCTAACTATCATGGATCTGTAGGTACTAGCATTGTTCCTTAGCCAGTAGGTATTGGAATTGTTCCTCAACAAGCTCAATAGGTCTTCCTCAATAGCCTCAATACTTTGGTAATACAACCTTTGGTGTTGGTGGACATCCATTCTTTAACAAAAGCAGAGAAATGGGGCGAGGATACTCCAGACCTCGCCTAATGTGTCAGGTTTGTGGCAAACCAGGATACTCAGCCTTGCATTGGTACCATCGATTCGATCATGAATATCAAGGATTCATAGCAACTAATTACAATCCAACCAATCAGCAAGTGTCCTATAATCACTCTATGCCTACTCAACATTCAATTCCAACACAGCCAACAAAATTTGCTCAGGCTTTGTTTGTTGGAACAAACTTTCCAATTGGACCTTCCTTTAATCACTCAATTGCTGGTTTTCATGATTGCTCTAGATTTGAACATTCGTCTTTGAATAATGTACCTACAGGAGTATCTCAACATTAGCATAACTCGCATGGATCTATTCTTCAAACTAATGTGCTTGGCCATGTTAGTGTACCTTGTAGTAATGTTGATGGTGTTATCAATTTTGGAACCAGTAATCTGAACATAGCACATCCTCAAATGGTCAATGATCAATTATGGTACATAGACTCAGGGGCTTTGAACCACATGACAACTGATACAGCAAACATGGTGGCAAAAACTGGATATACAAGAGGCTTAAAAGTCCAAGTTGGAAATGGAGATTCTCTGCCTATAAAACACACATGTACATTGATGATACCTTCTCTTGAATCCCATAGAATCTTACACCTTAGGAATATATTATGTGTTCCTAACATTGCCAAAAATCTGCTAAGTATTTCCCAGATTACTAAGGATAATCATGTAACAGTTGAATTCAATTTTGATTGTTGTTTGTTAAAGGATAG